CCCCCCTCCCTCCTACCCCTCCTCCACATCCACACCTCAACTACACGACATCTGTACTCTCATTCTGCCGGTTGGTCCTCTTCGGTCAGCTATACCTTCTCGCTCTTTGCTCTCTTTGCAACCCCACCCCAGCGGCAACCTTCACACCCCTTTACACACGCAAACACACACACACAAACATTAACATATATATAAACACATGAATGTTTAGGCACTTTCAGAAATGCATACATACATGACCGCCGACTTTCCCCCACGGTCTGTTTAGGAGCCTGTGAGACTTCAGACTGACACATTTCTGTACCGTCGCGAATTCCGTCTTGGTCTCAAAACCTCCTTGCTCTCTCTTTCGGTTGTCGCTTATCATCCATTTGCTTGTGGACAGCTGGACAGTGTCCTGTGGAGAGGGTGTCTGCCTCGGAACCCATGTCTGCCTCGTAGGGTACCGGGAAAAGATGAAGCACTTAGTTGGATCAATGTTAGATCAATGCTTTTGCCTGGTGTAGACAAACAGTTATGACTATGTGCCTGTATGAGTGGAATAAATGCTGACAACTCTCATCACACTACCTGTAGTTGTGCGATTGCATGAATTCCAAACTGTCTTGTAGTTGATTAGCCAACCAGACCCGTAGGCCATGATACTCCCCTTCGGGTTGTACACTGTGGCACACACACACACACACACAGACACAGACACAAAGACACGGAGGAGGTGCAGGTACTGGCATTTCGGACGTCGAACCGACAGTCAAGTCTGTTGTCGTGGCGGATTGCATGAGACGGCCTCCACTCCTCGTCCGGTCGGTCGGTCCGATCCGATCCGATCCGATCCGATCCGATCCGATCCGATCCGATTCTGTCCAGGCGGCCAGAATCTGGCCGGCCTGCGGCGCATCGCAGGGCAGAAGCGCACGTGGCCCTCGGTCGAGTCGGATCAGACCGATCGGATCCAGCCCCAGATCCGCTTGACCAGTCCACAGGCTGTTGTCCTGGTGCGCCACCTCGCCAAGTCAGTCGATGCCACGCCTCGACATGGCGACGAGGTTGTGCTCCGCGAGCTGGCCACCACCAACACCCTCTTCGGCGATGCCCTCTTGCCTTCACGTCGCCTCCCAGCCGATAGACACATCCTTCCGGCATTTTATCCACTTATCCACCAAGATAGATAGACATGCCAGTCAATAGATAGACGCCTAGCTATGCATGGATAGGGGAATAGACGGATGCATGCAAGTAAACAAATAGGTAAATAATTGGATGTCTAGCTATACAAGCCTGTCAATAGATGGATAGATGAACAGGTCGGCAGGTGGATAGATAGACAGGGAAAGCCGGGCATCCAACTTCCTGACCAGGCAGACTGGCATTTGGGGAGATAGAGAGAAGGATAGAAAGAAGAACTGTGAAATAAGGAGAAAATGTGTGAAAGCTTGCTGCTTACACACGATGGAGGGCTCGAGAGACGGCGAAGCAGTAAAGTTTTTGAGACACAAAAAGTCGGTAATCATGACCCAGCCGGCCGGTTGCTGGCTCGGTTGCCTGGTTGTTTGGCCTATGGTACAGCTTGCGTGTCTCTAGACTGAAGTCTAGAATGCTGGCAGTGGTCAAACGTCGCCTCGAATGTGTTGGCCGTCGAGTCTTGGGCCGGACGGGATGTGAACGAGGCCGAAACTGCAGTCTCTTCCTCGTAAAGAGAGGTCGCCGAAGTGGCGATGCCTGAAAATGACGGCTCCATCGGTCGTGACGGGCCTCGTTGCTAGGCTAGGGGCTAAGCGTAATTTGCATACATTGTAGGAGTATCGCTTTCCTGTGTTTTGCTGGCAAGACAGACAGTAGCAGCACACAATGGGCCACCCTGAGAGTCGAGTTTTAGTTCGGTTTTGCTGTCTACAGTTGGAAGGAGAACGTCCAGACGTCTTCACCTCTTCAGGTCTGTCCTAAAAGTGGAAGAGCACACTCCAGCCGCCCCGTGATTTGGGATTGTTTTTGCTGAAAATCACGCTCTCCTGGCGGCCAGATCAAATGGCAACAGTCGAGGTAGCGATACATCGATTGTCGAATGAAGGAAGCGTCAACCGCGGTACGATTCGTGTCGTTGACGAACGGGTTCGACGGTAAGCACATTAGTGGTGGATTGTCACCACTTTTAAGGTGAGACTGGTTCAACTTAACTGGCAAACTTGTGAGAACTTTACTGTCGATAGCCAGACGTGTGTTTGCCGCCAAATCACAATATTTGTGAATACTTTATGCAAGTCCTAGAGTTGAATTTTCAACTCAGTTTCTCTTTAAGACTGAGAGGTCGTCTGATCATAGTCGGCCATTCGGAAACGCGTCTTTCGCCGGCTGAACATTTTTATC